CGCGTCGCGCTATTGTTGATGAATGACAGAAATCGGAGCTACGGCTGCTACAATCATCTCGCTCCACTTTATCGGTCCCGAGTATACGTCGCTCGTGCACCCCCTCCCCCCCCCCCGCCCCTTTCGCGTCGTTCGCGGCTATCCTCAATTGTCGCGACGCCAATGACGGAGCGTGAAAATCCTTTCGTCCGTTCGCTCGGCTAAGGAAGCGCGATTACGCCAACCATTTCCTCAGGAGCGCGTTTGTTGCTCGAGAAAGCCTCCATCAATTTCTCATCGTAATGTTGGCAGGTAATGTCAATGAATACCCAACGGCCAACGGAATTCGTTTAAACGCTGAACAACGTAAATTTCCCTAGTCGGGGGAGGATTAATTGGTTGGTATTCAGGGTGCAGATATTTCAATTGATGCAATTCCTCGCGTTCCGACGAGGCAGGGAAGAAAACGGACACCGAAAACAGACAAATAACAGACGAATTCGCGATTCCTGATCGGGGCTCCTGGAGCGGGGAGGGGTGGCCCGTCAAGTTTCTCGGTATTTTCGAAGCAAAGGCGAGTCGCACGGAGAAAACTTGCAGGCGGGAGGTCACGGTTAGCGTGTACAGAAGCGTAACTCGGATCAGAAACGCGGCACTCTGTTGACTGACAGCACCCCGCCCCGCCCCATCCGGGCAATATGTTTATACTAGACTGATAATGAATTCATGCTGTGCGTAGGGCAAGCTACTTGTGAACAGGTTGCAAGAGCATTACGGATCGGCTCGCACAGATGCTCTTTTGTCGGCAGATGAGTGAGAGCCCAAGGGATAACGCCGGGATGATATCAGATCTGTCGGGTCGATATAAGAATCAGGGGAATCGGCGTACGGCCACACACACACACACACGCGCGCGCGCGCGCGCAGGGACGAGCAAGGACGAGCGTGCGCGAGCGCACCTGCGCACGTACGTGTCGTGTCGTGCGAGTGTGTGTACGCAGCCGGGAAATCCCACGGGTCCCAATGGGAAACCATCCACGGAGCTTAATGACAATTCTGGCTATTCTATATCGCTCAAACGCTCGTTTGCGCTTGTTTGTATATACGTATACACTCCGCGACGAAAAAGGATACACACAAGGGTTGCGCCAGTTGGCACAAGTACAATTAAAGGACGCTTCGCATTTTTCTCCCGGGGCAATGATCGCCGACGTACATGCGACTTTTCGGGAAATATGAAAATGGGGGACCGAAGTGGGCCACTTACCTCGCGCTGATGCGTCTTCGACCCTCAATCGTAGACGAATCGTAGAATCGAGTGGTAAACACTCTGTTGTCGGAATGGAACACGCAGAGGTAAATTGCACGTGTTGTATGCAAACCAAGTTGCTTGTGTGTACGAGAGAAGAAAGTGGAACTTTGAAATATAATAATTTAAGAAGTATCATTTAATCACGACAAATACGTGTTTACTTTTTACCATGCAGTTTAAGACAATGACTACGTTTACACGGCTTTTAACCTCGACTTACGTAGTAACCGTACCGTAATTACCGCAGTCTCGAATCCGATTAGAGTATATTTTTAGGTCTAAAAGAATATATCAATCGAATCAAAGAATTCACTAACTAACTACGGTTGTTACTAATCCAGATTAACCTTGCCTTGTGTAAAAACGTGGTTATTAATGTATCAACCAATGTCAGGTGACTTTTACTCAACGAGTGTCTCTCTGCAAATATAAGCAAAACTGTTTCCCGAGATGTAAACGAGTCTCTTGAAGCACAGGAATCGGTATATGACACATGTTCTTTTTGATGAATTTAGTCGCAAAATATTAATTTATTAATGAAAAGTTGATTTGAAATTGTACGCGAGTTCGGTTCCGTATTACGATTTGCAATTTTTAAAAATGCAAGCTCGACGAGATATTAACAATTAACAATTTATTGCTATTTTTACTGCTGATTCACGAGAAACTACATCTCTAAAGTGTAAAGTGGATTCAAGCGGGAATAATTAGAGAGCGATGACATTACCAACTCCTTTTGCCCCATTATTCCTCATAAATATCATACAAACATAAATATAATCGTATATTCATTTTATGTTATTTGTTATTATTCGTGTGTTTGTGTATGATGTGCATCCATGTCACGCGAAAGAAGTATAAATTTCTAGAAAACTGCATTATCGCGCGATTACCATCCAAGCACGTGACTCACTGCTTTTTACTCCTGCGACATACGCCGAGAGGGCACAAGCGCACAGTTGGCATGTCCGAACTTTCGACTTGCATCCTAAAATCGTGAAACCGTTGGACGCTAATAGTATCTCGTCGATGTCCGAGCTGACAATGTTTTCGAAAGAAAATTAAAATCTCGCTAAAAACGTGTCGAATATGTCACACATTGCCGCATATATCGTTAATATATCACAAGGAGAAATCTCTAACGCTCGTTTGAAGCAAACGAAAAATGCATTAATTTCGCTCGGATTCCATCTTTTACATATCGGAAAAATCGTATGCCTCGCATCTGACTTAAATTCGCGAATGAAATGTACAATTCAACACGTAAAATCTCAAATTGCTACTTGCACTGTATATTTGCAGAATGCAGTTCTGCTTTATCGGTACTCACCGACCGACGGTTCTCCACCGAAGGTCGACTCGTTGTCCTTGTTCCCGACAGCTCATCCATCCATCTTCCGTTCAGTTATTCCACAATGATCCGGCACAAACACGCGCGAGATTTGCTTCCGGCACTCCCGACGTCCCGAATTCGCGCGTTTCAAAGCGTCTTGGCCGGTCGACGATGCAATATGCGACGAATTGAACCTCGTACACTTACAACGTGCGACATCTTGCGCGATTTACCGACATTCGACCGTCCCGATTATTGCGATGATTCTCTTGTGATGATTCTTTGACGATGATCTTTATGTTAACGCGAGCCTCGCGCGCGATCTCTGCTATCAGCGCTCCCGATGACGACGACGTACACGCGTGGGCCTAATAATCGACAAAGCGAAGCAAACACCACACAACGTAACGCGGACGTGCGCGACATTTTGGTCGGCACGACGGTTAGATCGCGCGACATTCACTTTGCGCGATACTACTACTTGTTGCAACAAGCGTGCGTAACTTACTTCCGGCACTCCCGACGCAATAACTCGCGTGCAAAATTCGCGAGTCGGAAAATACGGAGCGGAAAACACGCAGCTCCTGGCGTCCGATCTGCCGCGAGACGAACCCTTCGTTGACTGAATATATCGAGACGATTGAGTTTCTCGAAGTGTCTAAACGCGCCAACTTCACTCGCTGCACACGTCTCGCTGCGTGCTTTACCGAAGTGCTGACTTATGACAACACACACGATGTGTCGTAACCGGCGGAGCAAGGTAAATAAATAAGCGCCAAGGTCTTTTCCGGCGAAGCGAGGTAAACAATGCTGAGATGCTGCTCGCGCTGCAGACAATAACAAACGCAAAGGACGCGCGTTGCGCGCGGTTAGTTCCGGACGACTGTTCTGCCGAAAGTGATATTCACTTTCGGCAAATTCACGACGATGCTCGCGACGAGCTCGACGTTTTCTCGTCGTTCCTGAATGAGAATTCATGCGTCTCTCTTACCTCGGCAGGCTCGAGCCACGAAAACTGCGGACGATTCGTCGGAGCTGGTCCGCTTCGTCGCAACCGTTATCCGGAACGGGCGCAATCGCTTGAAGCTTGAAGTTGCAGCGAATGAAATTTTTGAAGCACCCACACGCCCGACACGTAGTGCGGGCGAGTGCGCAACGCGAACTCGCAGATTCGTATAATGTTCGTCGAAAAACCCGCGGTCTCAAGTCTCAAAAATGTTTGTGGTAATCTTATTTTCGGAAATATTAGGCTAACGTGATGTTACGTTCTTCTTGTTTTCTCTCATGACTACCGACGCCGGCGGTATATGCGGTCTATTACGCCAAACATTAAATCGGCATGCTCGCATTCGAGTGAGCGTCTCTTTCCCGAAAAAAGTCCTTCACGAACGCGACAACGATAATCTCTCCGTTCCGCCGTCGAGACGGCTGTACAATGGGACACAGGAAACATCGCGCATCTCGTATATGTCGGAAAAACTAATGTTTACTAGCCTCAAACGTCCTAAGATCCTTGGTCCTAAGATCGACCGTTGTGCCGGTAACGCTATCGGTAACAGGCGTCGGCCGCGGCGTCGGTAACGACGTCACGTGACGCGCCGCGGCAATTTCATGTCGATCTCGTTCCGGGACGGTTACGGCGAACGGGTCGCGAGGTCGAGTCTCGCGCGTTTCGTGCCTTTCTGTACGGGTCGACGGCAAATTTGGCGCGCGAACGAGTACCGGGAGTGCCAAATTTAGGCGACGGGCGATTGTTTCAGCGGATAAATCAGCCGGCGTGAGTGCGATTGAACGACGAGCTACCTTTGAATGCTCCTAACGGTCGTGTTGTGAATTGTACTGCCGTTGCAACCGTTGGAGTCGTACGTGTGAAACGGGACAAGTGCATTCGTTTCTGTCGGACGAAATAATTATTCGAGGCTCGACGCTGCGCCATCGTGCCTTTGTTTTCGGTAAGTTCCCAGCAGCCTCTCCGAGTTCTCGAGTCGAATTAACTGTTGCTATCAAAGACCGTTGCTTGTCCACGAATGTCGATTATGGAGTGGAGAAATTCAATTTGGCAAATATCATCGCATCGTAAGTTTATACGCGCTGCGTACTCGCGGGAGATGTTTGTGTATTGGCAATAACGGATCACGAAATTAATATTGCATTACAGCGCTTGAATTTCATGCAAATTTCTGTCGAACGTCATGGGTCTTTAATAGTATCTTGTCAATATTGTCAATATTATCTTGTACGCTTATATAGTTTTTGTATCACATACGTACGTTGTAGTGAGAAATTGCAACGTACATACACGATACGTCACGTTGTGAAGGTTGAGAAAGACTTGGAATGTATCTTTGGACAGGGTCGATGAACACCTGGTTTTTCAATAAAAAATTTTATTATGTGCCAATAAATAAATTAGATTTAGATATGTGGTAGCTTAAGAGCAGGGCTAGATCAAGGCCGTATATTAGAGCTGCCTTACTTTAATCATTTTAAAGCAATGGCCATTGGACTTTATTTAGTCCAAAAACTGCCTTATATACGTGCAGAATATATAAATAAGTATATATTAATATACAATAAAAGGATGACGATCATTTATGACGATCTCGTCGGAAAGGATAGAGTTAAAATGTTATCTAATGTCGAAATCTAGTTTGAATTGAAGTGTGCGTTTTATTCAGTGCCGAGAAACTTGTATTCTCATCTATCCTTTCGAACGAGTAATTATCACAACGTAATAACACAATTGCTCGAGTATTCACGGTATGACAAATTTAAAACATTCTTTTCTGAATAAAGAATTCACCCAAGCAACTCTTTCTTGTAGAAGCTGCGCATTAAAGTAAAAGTAAGAAAGAAATCATCGAGTCGTATTGATGCGATTCTCTTGCGAACAATCACGAGACTTTGGACGTTATTTCAACTACCAACACTCAACGTATAATTCAGATCAACAATCGTTGGCCCTGCATGCTACGCATGTATCGTATATTGCGGATATAAATATATGTATATAAAAAAGTAGAAATAGAATTAGTGTACGATATATGTGTATATGTGAAGAAAGCGATGGAATGAGTATTGTGGAAGGTATACAAATCAGAATACCTATGCTATTTGTATAAAATCATTGCTGGCTCCACGACAACCATGATTGCTCGCAGCAAGGAGATCTCCTCGCGATTGAACATAAATTAATCGTATTCGATATAACGTGTTGCACAAGGCACGCAATCCCGACTGCGTCCGCTAGGAAGTAAAGAGATCGACATGGTAATATTCTCGAAAGGTGCCCGCTCCCTTTTATCTAAGCATGGAGAATCCTTTAGCTTTTGTGAAACGAAACGGTCTGCATTGTAAATAGCGTGTGTTACATTCCGGTGAACCATGCATCGATGCGGAGTCGTTCTCTTTGTCCCATGCGTGCCTGGGTGACTCGATGCCAAAGGGGCTGTAGAGCTTAGTAGGTGTGCGACCCAATAATTGACGAGAGCGTGTCTGAGGTGTTTGCATTCTGGAACCTGGTGACTGCTGCTCTTCTAGTCTCTGACGTCTGCGTGTGGAGCTTCTGAATTTCTGCACATAAAAAATAGGGTCACATAAAAAATAGGGTCACCGTCCAAATAGGATGTCAAAGACAAAATTGAGTTAACTTGTTGTATAAATTTCAACATTATTTGAACGTCCACAGTTGCGCGATATCCTTACCTGGGAAATTGTGCCAAAGGTGGTGCGCACGGAGGATATCGTCCTGGACAATTTTTCGGCTCCGCTCCGCAGAGCTCTACGCGAATCCGCGGATACGTTGCCAAGACTGATGTTGTTCCAGGATCGATCGGCGGTCGCGGATTCCTTAGTCTTCGGCGGCTTCTCCTTGGCGTTCTCGCCCGAGCGATCCTTGTCGAATCGATCCTGCAGACGTTGACGCAAGTTTCGCGAATTTCGCACCACCATCTCTGGCGAGTTTCGCACAGCCAGCACTTCCCGGTGGAATGTAAACGACACGCTACGCGAATCCGGCCGCATCCTTGCCCTCGACGACGGAGACGCTCGGCGTCGTGCTGGCGTGTGCGTCTGTGTGATCCTGAAGCCTCCCACGAGTCGTCGCTAACGACCAAAAGCCGATCGAACGAACGGCACGAATACGTTCGCGGCCGTGATGTATGCGAATAACCGTTCTTAGACAATTTTTCCGCTCGTATACCCCAAACTATAGTTAGAGAGGAAGCTTCCATAGGATTTCCATGGTGTCGCGCATGGCGTAGCATGCTCTGATTGGCGGAGCCAAAGTGCAACGGTAGTGTGCAATGTGCAAATACCGCGAAAATATTTTCTAAAGCGAACGTATCAAAATGAAAGAATCTCTCTCGCATCTGCGTTTTCCGTCATCTATGAGTAGAAAGCGCTAAATTCATAAAACATGAAACTACGTGGAGATGTTCTTACGAGGACCTAGGCGGTCCCGTGAAAGAACATGAGTATGTTGAAATTGTAAGAGGAAAGCGATATCTTCTAAGGGTATCTCCAAAAATAACACTTGTGTATCTCTCCGAAGATAACACACATCTTCACATTTGCATCCTATGTATGATATGACTAAGTGATAGGTAAACACATAGGAATCCCATGAATTGTCACGGCACAGTATATCAGACTTCCTCGATCAGAAATAATCAAGTGTTTGTGCAATCGACCGAAAAGCAGGATAAATCTTGCTTCATCCCCGTCACTGGTTCCAGCCAATCGTCCAAATTCTCCAAATCCCTCACACAAAACACGGAACGCACGCACAGTCTCAGCGGGAGACCAGGGCGACGCGCACGTCCCTGAGCGCCACGTGACGCGCCGTCGTCGTCGACCTGTCAGGCGGGGGAGGGCGGCGTTGCCGGTCAGTCGGCCGTGGTTCGTCTCACGGCCCGCACCGGCAACGTTGCTCGCGCGGCACGGCAGGCCGCGGTCGCGCAGTGTGCGACACTCGTGCGGCAACACACCCAATGTTTGTGTTTTGGAATTTCTCGTGATAATAAATCGCCAGGCGAGTGAGCGGAACGCGCGCACGGCAACCGGACGCGACGCCGTGGCATGTAGCGCCGACCCAGCTCGCCGTCACCGTCGGCCGTCGAGATGTGGACGACGACGAAAACCACCAAGTACGGCGTCGGTGAGTTTTATCTGCGCACGAGACTCCCCTGCCGCCCTCCCTGTCCCGCTCCCGCGGCTCCCGCTCTCTCACGTCGCTCCTCACTTCGGACCTGTCAAATTCGCGGCGCGTCCGAGGCAGCGCACGTGATTCTCCGAGATTCCGCGAGAGATCGGCGAGAGAGAGAGAGAGAGAGAGAGAGAGAGAGAGAGAGAGAGAGAAAGAGAGAGAGAGAGAGAGAGAGAGCGGCGTCATTGACTCTGCCGCGTGTCCTCGAAAACGTGAGATCACACGTCTTCGCGGATCCTCGTCGAGAGCGGCTTCGCGTCTCGTCCCGTCCCGTCCGTAAAGAACTCTCACGGCGGATGGGAACGCGCGCGCGCTCTCCCTCGTTCTCTCGCTGGGCGGCGTGTGCGTGCGCTGTGCTCGTCGCCGGGCGCGTGTGAGTGCCCCTGCGTGTGCTCCATTCATGCATTGATCGTGCGCGCGAGTAGTAAAGTCCGCGCTTGATAAGCCGAGAGCCGGCTCCCGGGCTCCGGATTTCACGCTCGCTCACTCTCGATCATGTTTCTTTCAGCAACGTCCTCGATGCCGTCGAACCCGTCGCGACGCTCTCGCGAGCCCCCTTCCCCCTCCTCCGACTGTCGTGCTCGTATCTGTCAATTTTCCAGATCGCTCTCGGGGCGGGGGTGGGGGGTCTCGGCGAGCCGCGAACGCGCGCGAAGGCGTCGCGAGCGCGTCTCGCGCCAATTCGCCGTTAATTCGACGTTAATCTCACACGTTGACGTCTGCTTAATGCACTGGAAATTGAACTCGTAATTTCAGTAAGCAGTCATTAGGACAGTAGCTAAGTCTTTTCCATAACTCGCGCACTCGCGGGACGATAATCCACACCGCTCGTCATATTCTCGTTATTAAGCTCGAGGAGTTGCGAAATGACGACTCGCGAAACGTCTTCGCCAAGTAACGAGGACGTTCGGCGATGTTCGTTCGGCGGAATTCGATACGCAACGCTCGCGTGACATGCCTACGTGTAACAACGACGTTTAGCCAGGCCAAGTGGCTGCTCCGGGTTCATCGCTTCGAGACGTGGCGAAAGGTTTGCACGAAGAGAGCGAATTATCGACTCCGCGATCGGAATTAATTCACGTCGGCTCATCGTCCGGCCGGTATTTTTTCGCGATTAATTAACGCTCGCGTTAATCCCCGGCGCTCGTTTAAGGTCGTTAGCGCGCCGCCGCCGCCGCCGCCGCCGTCGTCGTCGTCATCGTCTCAATCTTCAAGCAGTGCAAGCGACTCTAATCCGATAAACAGCGCCTTTCAGCCGAGGAGAAAGAGACGCGCGCGGACCCCTTCTGCTTTTTCTTCTTTCCAGCCGGTTTATCCGTATTCTTCTCGATAAGGTAGTTTATCTCGAAAAGGAACATTCCGCAAATCCGCAAATGGTCAGACGTTTGGGCCTCGTCACGATGGTGGCCAATCGTCGTCAATGAGCGTGGTGAAATTTTTCGGAGGCGACGCTTTCGAAATCACCGCGGCCCGTCGATTTTTTTTCGCCGACGGCGACAGCTCTTCCGGGATTTTTCCCGGCCATTTATAGAGCCGTGCAGACTAAGGGTGCATGTCAGCGACACGATTAAAGCACAATCTTCCAATCTACCAATGTACGGCACTATTCACGCGGTCATGCCCCTATGCATTATTTCTTTTCAGCGACCATGGTAGATGTAGAACCGTCCCTGTGCCGGCTCTCTTTCTTTCGCTTTGCCTCTCTCTCTCTCTCTCTCTCTCTCTCTCTCTCTCTCTCTCTCTCTCTCTCTCTCTCTCTCTCTCTCTCTCTCTCTCTCTCTCTCTCTCCCCCCCTCTCTCTCTCTCTCTCTCTCTTTCTCTCGCTCTTTCGTTCGCTCTCTTGTGTGTAACAAGTCTGCAGATGCATTATTGCTGCCATTACCGAGCCCCTCGTGCATTAACTGTAAGCCGTAAAGGCAGATCCATTTTAGCTCAAAAACATCGGAGAAAACCTCGTAGCTATTCATTTTTTACGGCAACCTGCCAATATCTCTCTTTCATGATATCAGTAGGACTTCTTATCGGAGTCGGAGTTAGAGTCGTGCGTGAAATGTGAACGACATCTCTCTGTCGAGCCTCTTCCCTCCCTCCACTCTCTCTTTCTCTCTCTCTCTCCCTCTCTCTCTCTCTCTCTCTCTCTCTCTCTCTCTCTCTCTCTCTCTCTACTTCAGAGTTCATATTCATCAATTTAATCTCGTATTTAATCTCGCGTCTACGAAATTTCCGGTGAAACTCAGGTAAACCGACGGGGCATTCGCGAAATGTGTTGCAGAGAGTATCATGTACGATATTACGTGAAAACGTGATTTATACGCCGCGGCCCGAAAGTTACGGCGGATAAATTCCGCGGAAAATATAACCATCCGCATTAGCATTCAACCGCTCCTCTTACATTCAGACGGTGTGAGAATTATAGCGCCTATAAATATCCCGCCATTTTGCAGGATGCTGTAATGCGACTCGAAGGCGCGTAATCGCGTGAATGTTAACATTGGCATCGGCTGTATCGCGATTAGCGACATATCGGCGCACTTTTTGCCGAGAGCCGTCTTCGCCGTTTATTAGCCGCATTTTACGCGCGCAAAAAGCTCTCCGGTAATTCGGCGGTCGACGTACGCGCGTATACGTGCGTGCGTCGCGCCTGTGAATGTGTGCCATCAGGCGCTTCTGACATTTTATGATCGCGCATAAAGCAGCGTTTCCGCAGCGAAAAACGGGCTGTCGCCCGTCCGCGTCCGCCCGAGTCGTTCTCGCGTCAACCTCGCGCGGCGAAAATAGTCGTGCCTGCGTTTTGCAATTGCCGAGATTTCGTTGTATTCTTTCTCGCCGAGTCTCGATCGTATCCGGGAACCCGAGCCAGTCGGTGGAACCTCGCCAGAGCCGTAACGCCGACTACAGCATCTCGCGAGCGTGTGCAAAATATTCTTTTTACTTTACTCTGCGCATTTTATTTTTAACATTCAAGATGTCGCATTTATTCTCGATACTATGTTACTTCATATTATTATTGTTTTAAATATCGGATGTAATATACCGTGACATAACGCGGAAAAGGCGGAAGTGCGGCGTCGCACATACACACACACACACACACACATGGATCCAGGGGCCATTATGATTTCAGATGTCATTGTTTATGTCTTCATTTCGTGACCCTTCCGAACTGCTGCACCCCACCTACCGGCGTTATTGATGTCTGACGCCGGCTCCGCACGTGTGGCTTTTACCACGTGTGTGCGTGTACGAACGGGAGCGCTAATGGCACACGTCGGCAAGTGTATCTGTGTGTGTGTGTGTGTATGCGCGCGCGTACCTACCTTTTGCTATTATTATTTATACAATCCCAATTCCGGTACAGATTATTCACGCGTACCAATACCTTCTATCCCGCCTCACTTTTCAAAGACTTCAAAAACTTAAAAAACTTAAAAAACCTTATTTCGAGCGTAGACGTATTAGGGAGTTTTTGCAATACCGTCTCTCAGATACACTAATAGAAAAATATAGTTGAATTAACTATAATCTCACTATATTTTATAGTTCATTTTGGTGTGTCAACCATATTTTTATAGTTTGTGGAACCTGCAAAATATAGTAGAATAAACACAAATATATAGTCAATGATTGTCTTAAATAATTTTAGTTTAGTTCAGTTACTTTTACCACATATATGGTAATTTCTCATTCACAAATATTCTCATTCACCTACCATTTTATATTTGTATCCATACAATAATTTTAGTTTAACTTACTATAATTCTTAGTAAAAATATCATATGGTTGGTTGTACTATGCCTATATCGTAATTATTACCGATATTATGGTAATGGTACTTATTATAAATACGATATTTCGGACTATTTCGGATAATTTAGTCACTATATTATTATAGTTCCAAATATCATATACTTTTCTCTCAGTGTACGATAAACACTGATCGTAAATGCTATTGGTATCGTATATATGGCGACGATATATTTCTGAGCGAATAACGTTCATGATGATTTACGTTTACCTTTATCTGAGAGACGGTACACTGATAGAAAAATATAGTTGAATTAACTATAATCTCACTATATTTTATAGTTCATTTTGGCGTCAATTCGCCATTTTATAGTTCGTGGAACCTGCAAAATATAGTAGAATAAACACAAATATATAGTCAATGATTGTCTTAAATCATTTTAGTTTAGTTACTTTTACCACATATATGGTAATTTCTCATTCACAAATATAGTGAGATTTAATATTCACATAGTTACATCTGTCATCATTTTGCAAATATTCTGATAATATTGACTATATAAAAGAGTTACTTTACCTACCATTTTATATTTGTATCCATACAATAATTTTAGTTTAACTTACCATAATTCTTAGTAGAAATATTATATGGTTGGTTATACTATATGCCTATATCGTAATTATTACCGATATTATGGTAATACTTACTGTAAATATGATATTTCGGACTATAATTTAGTTATTATATCATTATAGTTCCAAATATCATATACTTTTCTCTCAGTGTGTTGCAAAAGCTCCGCATTTTTCATGATTTCTCGGCGACTATCGCCGAGATACGCGTTCGCTTTACCGCCAAGTCGAAATATTCAGCACGGTGCGCACGAGTCGCCATTAGTGCTCCGAGGAGAGGAGCGTAGGCCCGCTATGGGAAGGGCGGAAAATTTGGGAAGAACGGCAGAAACGGCCGGCAGGCCTGTGTGCCTGCAGTCCCCCTCCCCCCGCCCCCCACGGCTCGCGAGTGTTTCGTACGGCCGAGAAAGGGAGTTATCGATTTAATTCCCCGGGAAAAGCCATGGGGGAAAGCCGTGCGACGCGAACTTCGTCGTCCCGCGACGTCCTTTGTTCGCGCCGCGCCGCGCCGGGGATACTGGCGGAGCGCGGCGACTGTGGAATATTCACGTGCAATTTTGTACTCTTTTTTTTTTTTTATTATTACTTACACGGCCAAAATGCGAGGGACGAAAACAAAAAGAAGTCGCGGCAAAGTGCCGCGCGGTGCGCGAACGCACAGCGTTTGGAATTCTTCCGTTCGTCCGACTCGCGCCGTCCGCGCGCTGTAACTTCATACCGCCGTTACTTTATATCCCTGCATTTTCGTCGCCTCTTTGCCCACGATGCAGATCTCTATCTGGGAGTGTTGTTACTTTCCATCTGTCGTTCCTTTCTTCCTTGAAATATCGAAGGCTATGCTGCGCTGCGCCGCGTGAATGCGGTATTAAGCGCTTCGCGAGAGAAGCACGGAGAAAGCAGCGGGGCTTGACGGGCTCCCACTGGGAAATTTTCTATTAAGGCCAGACGAGACTGTGCGGAATACTCTGTCTGCCATCCAATGACGCAAAACATTCCGCGTATAAGCGACGTTCTATCGATCGCGCTGTCTCTCTCTCTCTCTCTCTCTCTCTCTCTCTCTCTCTCTCTCTCTCTCTCTCTCTCTCTCTCTCTCTCTCTCTCTCTCTCTCTCTCTCCTCTCTCTCTCTCTCTCTCTCTCTCTCTCTCTCTCTCTCTCTCTCTCTCTCTCCTCTCTCTCGCGACAAACACGTGCCGCGCGCGGCGCGGCGCATTGTCGGGCTTTCGTTGGCCGGGTCGCCGCAAAAATACCTCATTGTTATTGTCCGACCGGGTCTAACCGGGGAAAAAAGTCGACGCCCGTCGATTTTGTCGTAGGTTTCGCGCGATTTCGGTCGCGCGTCCACCGGTCGAATTTGCAGAGGGAAGTTATCGATCGCCGGCTGTGAGTCCTAGTCTCGCAATTAACACGCGCCAATTGGACTCTCTCTCTCTCTCTCTTTCTCTCTCTCGTCGGCCGTCGCGCGTCACGTTGGCTCTCACGTTGGCTGTCTCGTCGAAATTGATGAAGCGCGCGCGGGGATCGATACGACCACGAGCGTTTTCCGTGAATGAACGCGAATGAGCTCTCTCGGGTGTGCTCTCTCTCTCTCTCTCTCTCTCTCTCTCTCTCTCTCTCGCTGGAAATGGAAAACGCGCGCGCGTGTCGCGGCGGCGCGCGCGTCGCTGTCGAAAATTGTGCCACTCTCTGTCCTACGCATCGCGCTCGTAGACGACGCAGTGGGCGGGCAAATGAGTAATGCGAGTTACATCGCGCTGATACAGGATGCCCCAAAAATGGCGAGCAGAGCGCGGCATCCTGTCCTTGGGCGCAATTCCTCGCGATTTTCCAGCCGCGCGCCGACGACGGCGAGTCCGCCCACTCGCTTCGCTACTGGAAGATGATTAAGTCACGTAACGATTAGTGAGCGATTCGGTCAGTAAAAATACAATTGCGACGCACGCGGACGTCCCGAGTTGGAATTTCCCCCGAGGAACACGTCCATTTTCGAAATTTCCTGCCATTCTCTCTCCCGACACACCCTGCGTGTACACCCGGCCACGCGCACGTAAAACCCAGAAAGACCACGAGAAACGTAGGCAGAGCCGGAGGGAAAGGGAGAGAGGGAAAGAGGGAGTGGGAGCGAGAGAGAGAGAGAGAGAGAGAGAGCGAGAGAGGGAGAGAGAGAGAGAGAGAGAGAGAGGGAGAGAGAGAGAGAGAGAGAGAGAGAGAGAGAGAGAGAGAGAGAGAGAGAGAGAGAGAGAGAGAGAGAGATGGGACGCGCTCATTGAGATGCGTCTCGCGTGCGTTTCTCCGACGGAGGACCGGAAGCTGGCTCGTCATACGTGCATCGTCACGCGTATCCGGTGCCCCGGAGTTGGCTTATCGAGGCTGACGATTCTAGGAAAGAAGCCCGTGGTGTTGTGACCTTCCACAGGATACACTCCGCCTCGGTCCATACGTGTAATTGATGCTAATTCGCTCGCCGTTGACTTGTAAACGCGATAGACTCGCGTGCGGCGTAACGTTGCGTCGTTTCGAAGCAAATTTCCAAGCGATTCCGATTTGTCGTCTCCTCGTTCGCTACGTCTGCAATATACAAAATTATCTCGCGCGCGCGCGCGCGCTTACATATCACACTGCGCACGAGCGTTGGTTGATAAACAGAAAAGGGGACGATTGCGTCACGTTTGTACAAGCGTATACTGTTAACAGTTATCAGCCGTGAGACATGTCACCGTTTACACCGGCGCTTGTAACGAGATCTAGTCGAGCGTTAAATGACGGCGGCACTAGTTAAAAATATCAGCGCGTCACATCTCGCAGCTCGATAGATAACAGACCATTATTACCCAGGCTTTCTTTCTCTCTCTGCTTGCAGCTGTGTACAACTGGCGAGGGGACACGCGCTATGGACTACCCCTGGAAATCGGAGAAACCGTGCAGATCCTGGAGGAGTGCGCGGGTACGAAATCCGACACCGACCGATCTTATCACACAGTCGCGTGCGATCGCGACGCACGCCACGGGATTCTCTGGATACGAATGGACGCCAAGGGGAATGATGAGGTCATCAGGAAGCGCGGGGCAATTCCGCGTCTTCGCAATTACGCATCCTCGTGTCGCACGGAATGATGCAAACATAAATAATGACAATTCATTCTCCTTTTTTTTCCTTTTTTTTCTTTTTTTTTTTTTTTTTGGAAATGTCTCGAAACGTCCGGAATACTCGGGTTATATTACTCCGGCTCGAGCGATTGCGCGATTTCTCGTATCGATGTTCGTTATCATCGCTCGCGAGTCGATGTACCATTGTTACGACCGCGAACTTCCAGCTGACTACATTATTCACGCTTGGCGCTTGAAATATCAAACTCTCGCGAACGCGGCCGGGGCGCGTTGAGAGATGCAACACGGCGAAATTTCCGCGGCTATTCCAGGCTGGTTCAGAGGCTTCACCACGAAGAATCGCGCGGTGAAAGGGATCTTCCCGAGCTCCTACGTGCACCTGAAGCCTTGCAAGATCGACAATGAGGGCCTCTTCGAGTCGGTCATACCGCTGGAGGATCCGGTGGTCCGCGAAGTCACCCTCGTGCTGCGGGAGTGGGGCAGCATCTGGAAGAGGCTGTACGTGGTGAGTGCACACCTTCGTCCTGCGCTTCATCCCTCCCGCGGAGGAAATCTGCTTTTGTGCTCCGAGCCTGACGAGACGATATATACTTGGGCGATATTAAAAGTACGATCGATGATGAGGACATTGTGAAACTTTCCGCCGCTATTATTAAATTCGCTGCATTAATTTCCTGCCATTGTCTTTCATTCCGCCCTTCCCTCCTCCCCCCCCCCTCATCTCCCCGCCGTTCTCTGTTAGCTCGGCTCGTTCGAGAAATTTACGTTTCCAAGTAAAACGGGAAGATTGATTTCCCCGGGCCGTAATAAACACACACCTCCTCCGCCGCGCCTCCACAACGAGCTTGTGCGCGAAACTTTTTTAATGACTCAAAATGTGGCCCCCCCGGCTTTGTCTCTCTGTCGCAGGAGCGCGAGGAATACAAATTCAACGCGTTGCGCAAAGTGATGCGAGAGTTGCTGGAATGGCGGCGACTGCTTTTGGCCGGCACCCTCACCACCGATAAGACGCGGGAGCTGAAGCTACGAGTAATCAATAAAGTGGACTGGGGGAATCGGTGAGTCGCACCACAAACAAAAAGAAAGAAAAGCAAGAATCTCACAGCCCTCTTTGTGCCGCTAAATTCGCGGCACGCGTCGCGATCGCGAGATTAGAAATTATCTCGCTCTCTTCCGCGTCGTTGTGTCTCCTCCTTTCATTAAGGAGGATTTATCGGCTACGTGAGCCTGTTCAACCGCGCATTGATTCGCTTTACTTACCACGCGAACGTGTTGATTTCTAGCCGACCGAGGGGGAGAGAGAGAGGGAGAAAGGAAGGTCCGATTTGTACTCGTTGCGCCGTCCAGCCGTCGAAATGCTTCAATTTTTAATCAAAACTTCAGTCGGACAACTACCTCCTCGTGCAAATAAGCGGTTCGCGCTTAGTCGGAGGAGGAGCATTCCTCCGCGCGGGATATAACCTCCAATTGCAGCCGGGGAAAGAAACTTTGGAATTGTTTCCCTTCTCGCGTGACTACGTACCAATTAAGCTCGCTCGTTCGCTCGCCCGGCCCGGCCCGGCGTGATTACCGCGCAGAAGGAACCAATGACAGACTGTGCGGTTGGAAAGAATTTCTTTTATTTTCGCTCACTCATTAATCGCTATAACGACGTTGCACATATTGGCAGTCTTCCTCTCGTGGTTGGACGCGAATTGCGAGAGGCGTTATCGTACATCTCCTAAATCCATAAGGATATTCTTACACATTAACGTATCTCTTATTCGCGTATCCTACAATATAATAGAAGGCACGTTGCAAACAATTACAACTATATTACTAATCTCTCTCTCTCTCTCTCTCTCTCTCTCTATCTCTATCTATCTATTTATCTATCTATCTATCTATTATTCTCTTTCGTTCTCTTGCTCTCTCTCTCTCTCTTGCTCTCTCTCTCTCTCTCTCTCTTGCTCTCTCTCTCTCTCTCTCTCTCTCTCTCTCTCTCTCTCTCTCTCGTTCACTCACTCGTTCGCTCGTCCTAACATTTTACCTTAAGATATCACTCGGAGCGCGACTATCGGTAATGTGTAATCTAATGAGTTGCGGCTATCGTAAAGGGGGAAGGAGCGTAGCGTTATATTATTGTAGTTACATAGGTGCTATCGGCAGCGTTTACATCGTCCTTGCATACGAAAGATCGCGGGGAACGTGTCTGGGCGTTGGAGCCAAAGTTTCTATTGTTTCTCTCAGCAGGAAGGAGGATTGCCATGACGTGACAATTAATCGCGTCGAGTAAAGTTTACGCCAGGCTCGGCCGGGCGATTTCTCGTCGTCTCTCGCGAGCGAGAATCCAGAAGGGATCTCACGACTTAGTTTAACCGCGACTACTTATACTCGATTATGTCCTTATGGGAATGTGTATGCGGTGCGTGTACGTGAGCATCTCCTTAAATATCGTGAACATTCGTCGTTCGGAAGACTACAGCGAAGAATAAAAAAAAACGGCCTCTCCGTGACGACTCGTGTGAGAGACTCGGAACGAGGAGTTTGAACGCAAAATGTCTGGAGTGCGCGTTATGACCGAAAATGCGGCCGTTACTTTATATCAGTCTAATTTCTAGTACGCCGCTCGCTCTCTGCTACGATTGTTGCACCACTTGCGTGAAAGTATCTCAAAAAAAAAAAAAAAAAAAAAAAAAGAGAGAAAAGAAGAAATAAAAAGAGAAAAGGAAGAGAATGATGGAATGGACGAACGTTACGATAACGACTGCCTCGGCTACTAAGATTACCACACTCGCGATAAATTCGCGCGTGTTCGTCCGGCAGTCATCATAACGAGATTGGAACGATCTGCTCTCTTTCTTCCTGCGCAAAAGTGTCGCTCTCAGCGCGAGGACGATGCTCGGGCGAACAGGATCCTCAAGGACACGACGCTCGCGCGCGAACATTACACATCGTCAAGCTCGATATCCCGTGTAACACAGTTACGTTATTCAATTACGATTATTACAAGAACGGGAATTCATTCGTTCATCGTCGAGTCATGCGGACTTGCTCGCTTTGTTCTGCTTGGCGCGTTGAAATCTGCACTGCGAGATCGCGATACGTCGATGCGATTTTCTCTCGTCGAGGGGACCAATGTGGGCTCGTCTCGCGGCGTATCCCGCCGCTACGGACACTTCGCACTTCGTGCAAACGATCGTCTTGCTCGACATGAGCGATTCGCGGGAGCATCCGTTCGTGTATCGCGCCACATACATATATCGCGATATCGCGAGAGCGTTGTCGTTGACACGCTTTCGGTCAATTCTCGCTGCTCCCTTCTTCTGCTCGAAGTCGGTTACAAAGTACAGTTACGTGAGAGGGAATATGTTTCCGCGCTGTAGAAAGGAATGTGTGCATTCGTGGTGTGAACGGAAGTCGAGGGACACCGTCTATAAATTATAATAGCGCGATGGTCGATCTCTCGTCGAGCGATCGCCAAGCTTGAGCGTCGTCATTCGCGTTGCTGCTCACCTCCGGAGATTAACGTGAATGCCGGTGAAAATCAGCAGCCGGCTCGTGCTCGTCCAAGTGATTCAAGTGCGTCGTGTTCTCGCAACAAAAAAAAAACGAATGCGATCACACCGTGTCGGGATCTGTCGCGACCTGGATCGATCGGATCGCACACGCCCTGCTATCGACCCGAGAGCATCGCGCGTTATCGTCTACATTATATACTCGATAATCTATTATTACCGATGTCAGTTCGTGCCGCGCGGCCGGCGCGAGGTACCAGCGCGTCGTTTTCGGCCGAGTTTGCCGGGCGGACAGACGACGTGTCGAAATCGAACGCGGCCCACTTCTGACGCCAGTTTTACAGTCGGCGTTGCTCGAGTGGAAATATCTCCGGGAAACGGAAAAAACGCAAAAAGAAAAATGCATGATAAAAATCTCGGCGGGACGGGAATTGCCGCAAGAAGTAGCATTGGCTCGCGCGCTGGCGCGTTTCGGCTGGGCTTTCGCGGCGGAATGAAAATCTCACAACGTCGCGACGGCTTTATAACGCGCAAGAAGGCGACGAAGGTTGCAGCTCGGCCCGCGCTGTTCTTACACGCCGGCGTCCAAGCTCGGAACTTTATGATCCGTGTAACGACAATGACAGCGTCGAACGAAATGTCACGCGACAACGTTCGACGGGTTCGACGTGATTCACGCGCCGGTGCGCGTCTCGTACTCGAATGCATCTCCTCTGTGCGCGACGTAGCGTATGAAATGTCGCACAAGGACACGCGCGGCGAAGAAGCTCGGTAATAATTCGCGTGATAATTCCGTCGAGCGGTTAAGTAGGAAAAGAGACGAAGAGATAAGTGGTGATCTCTTTCTTTCTCTCTCTCTCTCTCTCTCTCGCCTGACGACGTCTCACGAACACGAACGGTGATCTTCTGCACGATCGGATTTTTGCAAACATGAGAGATCGGCTTGTGCGTTTTACGAGCGGGCAGTAATGAGCATCCGAGCGAAACTCTCGCGAGATTCGACGAGACTCCTTAATGCCGCCGGGTTTGAGCTCACGTTTTACGAGCATTCTGGACGCGAGTCCCAATGGACAGTGAAGTGGCTGGCGGAGAGACCGAGCCGTCGTTGGCCGAGATGCTGTATGTTTGTTGTGTGTTTTACGAGCGCGGCTAGGTACCCACCGTACGCGGCACGAACGCAGCTCTTTATTGGCACCGAGACGGCGTCGCGGGACCGCCCTCGGCATTATCACAATACGAACAAGTAGGGTGGGGCTGGGAGGAGAGGGGAAATCGAGTCAAGACGAGTCGGGTGCCTCCTCGTGTTTAGATTTCGGTGTCCTTGGCGTACTTTTCGATCTCCGGATATATCGGCGACATCTCCAGAGTGCTGGGCGCCGACGGCACTGACGTCGGCGACGCGCCGCTGCTGCTGCCGAACTGCAGACGGCGGCACAGCTCCTCCAGCACCTCATTGAACGCCATGATGTTCATGTTTTGGCCCAGCAGATGAAGCAGCAGAAAGTCGCCGACCTGAAAATTGAATTCTCTAGTGGATTACAGCAAAACCGACACGTCGAGAGCGCACGAAAGCGCAGCCACACGTGAGAGAAGCTGCTCAACAGCGGCAATGAGGGGGAGGGGGAGAGAGAGAGGGAGAGGGGGAGAGAGAGAGAGAGAGAGAGAGAGAGAGAGAGAGAGAGAGAGAGAGAGAGAGAGAGAGAGAGAGAGAGAGATCTCACCTGAGTCTTCCGGATGAGCGCGCTCACGATAGCCGGTGTGCCGAACTTGAAGCGCTTCTTGAGGATCGCCTCGCGCGTGCTCGGCAACAATACTACAGCCATGCTGTAGAGCAGAGCCGCACCGGACATGACCGCCAGTATGATGAACCAGAACCACAGGAAAATATAGATCTTCTCGTTCAGAATGTTGAGCGCGAGCACGCAGAGCGCGTCGAACTTCTGGATAGTGCCAGAAGCGCCGAATTTGTGGAAGGTACACTTGGTCACACGTGGGAACACCTCCACCATCGGGTCGCTACGCTGCTCTTGGTTCAGATTGCTGAACTTCACCACGTCCGTGCCGTACGTCAAGAAAGCGCCGCCCAAGAAAGTATCCACGAAGAATATGTTGCCGACCTGAAAAACGACACCCGCGCGTCGCGCGTCAGTTCGAGCTCGCAATCTGCAAGACGCGATCGGAGATGCTTCCAAGTGCTCGGACTACAAAGACTTGTGATACTCACAACGTTGACAAAGTTGAGGGCCTCGCAGAAGAAGTAGCCGGCGGCGTAGCTGTTGTGCAGATGCAGGGTCTCGATGACGTACTGGACCAGCCGGTCGATCTTGGCCTGCCTCTCCTGCTTGGTCTCGACATTGGCGCCTCTCATACCCTCGGATATTATCCTGACCTTGCCCTCCTCCCACTGCTTCCACATCCAATGCGGCACATAGAAGAGTACGCCTTGGAAGAACAGCATGAACGGCACCCACTGGTAGTACGAGTGGAACCTCTTCTCGCCGTAATCGCCACCGAGGCCTGGATGGGCTACGTGGGTGCCCACGGGTTTCAAGTTGTTCTGCGGCAGCGTGAACGTGTACGTGATCCAGCAGTACGTGTTGAGCACGTGGGGCGACACCGCGCCGTCGGCCACGCAGTTGATGGGGTCGCCTGCGAAAGTGGACGTCAGTTAGGTGTCATTCGATCGTATTTCAAGGCGATCTTTATCACTTTGTGACTTGCGTCAAAATAGCCCGAAGCTCCGTTAGCGGGCCCGTGGCGAGTTTTGCTAACGGACGAGCGACTCTCGAACGTCTTGTGACGTCTGTGTAGATCTGGCTTGTAGTTTAGCCGCGATTAGACGTCGCAATCGTTAGAAGAGATAAACGGTAACTCTCCGCCGGGCGCGTCTCGTACACGGCTTTCTTACACGAACGTCGTTAGCGGAGTAATCCCGCGGGATTACCGCCGTAGCGCGGTGTTAATCCCGCCGCGATTAGCGAGAGCGTAGAAGAGACGCGTTATCACGCGACTCACGAACGAAAATAACTCTTTTTCTTTATACACGACAGGAACGAGCCGGGTCTCGCGCTCCGAGCGCGCGGATGCTGCGCTGTCGCGTTCTAGTTGCCACTCGAGCTGGAGCATCGGGTATCATCGCGCGCCTCCCTCGCGCGGCGTCTCATTCAGCGGCAGGAGAACTGATCTTCGTCCCTCTCTCTCTCTCTCTCTCTCTCTCTCTCTCTCTCGTGCCTGTTGACGCAAGCATTAATTTCGCGACATGTTTGCGCCAGCAGTCTCCGCTCTTCTATCTGCTTCCTCTCTCAGTGGAGCCTGGCCTCCACTTTCCGTAATTAATTTCTGCGAAAGGTAGAACTATTTTTTAAGGCAGAGCTATTTTTCACGAGAAAATTCGTACAAGCGCGTGCTGACGTTGGAAAGCCGGAGGAGTAAACGAGATACGTCGGGAAAGGAGATACCTACGAACGGGATGAACCTCTGGACGCTAAACAGGGAGCGGCGAGCGAACAGATGTAACGTTTACGGTTTCCGAGATTTTTCTCAAGTCCAAACGGACCGCAGATGCACGTCGTGTGCGCGTCGAGTCGCCGGACGCTCATGTGCGCTCCAGATGTTTCTCGTCGTAACGATCACAAGCAATTGCATGAGCACCGGTTGATGCGACTGGAAGATACGACGCGATAACGGCATGCCAGAGTCGCGACCGAATCATCAGGCGTATAATTCTCGGGTCGTTGAGCAACATCTGAAGAAACTTGCAGCTTCTCCCCTCGAAATTCAACACTCGACGACGTCATCACTCGCGGAGGCCCAAGGCGAATTTCACCCTGCCGCTCGCGATTTTTCCCGTTTTCACCTGCCGGCACTCTCGACACGAACAAACACACGCGCATGACTTCGGCGGTAACAAAAGGCAAATTATTATGTAACCGCTACTTGCCAACTCTCCCCTCCCCCCCCCCTTCTAGTATAATCGGGGATACGGCGATCATCAATCACGTCGCGCAGGAGGGCGACCTGGATTCGCCGACGGTCGTAAAACGAGAAATGGGACTCGCGGTTTGTTATTAGCACAAGCTGCTAACGCAGTCTCTTCTAATCAGCTGCCGCCGCCGCCGCGACGTTGAAGCGTCGCCGTGCGGCGATAAAAGAGCGCTCCTGCTCGTCGGAGCCAGCCTTGTGTTTGCCAGGCCTGCGAGGTCTACGCGGACGCGTAACACTCGCGTCCCCCGAGGATCGCAAGCTCGTTGCGCCTTGTTCGTTGCGAGAGGTCCTAATCACGAGCGACCACGATTAGTGCGACGCGCTTGATGATCTTTAATCCGTTCTCGTGATATGCCCACGCGGCCGGTAGATTAAATGATATACGGTCGCTGCGTCGTCTATTTTTAAACGTCTATTTTGCGCCTCTCCGAGATGCCGCCTCCCGGCCTTCCTCGCTCCGCGTCACACGTTTCACGCTCTTCTGTGCGTAAACTTGGAAACGTCTCTCGTGCTTCCCGGCTTGATCCCTCGCGTTTGATACGTCCTTGTTATTACGTACGCTGCGTCTCTCCCTGCGTCAGTCGCTCATCCTTGACGATTCGTCACGTTGCTGTTTCATCTCTTATTCACCGCTGCAACGATCTATCCGTCGGTGTGTACCGACGCAACAACGATCGATACTTGTCCCCCCCCCTCCCTCTCCCCCGAATGAGCACCACTCTCGAGTGTCCTCAACGGTGAAGCTCAGAAGTGATTGCTCAGCGAGAGAGAGAGAGAGAGAGAGAGAGAGAGAGAGAGAGAGAGAGAGAGAGAGAGAGAGAGAGAGAGATTTTCTCAATCATATTCTTAGAAGACTTTCACCGTGTCGAGAGAGCGAGAGACCCTCGCTAACGAGCGAGAGGAGGAGAAGCGCCGAGCGCAGCAGAAATTGAATAAGAGGCCTTACCTATCAAGTTATTGGCGGTGACGATGATGCAACAGGCGAAAAGAATGGCCGACGTGACTCTGTAGTGCGCCCTGAACACCATGTTGTCGATGATCGCCTTGTCGATGAGGTATCGCACCTTGACGAACCCGGCGACCGACGAGACCAAGCCAAACACGGCCATTTTTGCTTAATCTGCAAAGAATTACGTCAAGAAGAAGGTTAGATAAAAGGGAGAGCGAGGAGTCCACCGTTCATTGGTCATCATCGCTCCAAGGGAGCATCCAAGGGAGATTTATCAGTCGTATCAGACGCGCGCGCGCGCGCTTTCTCGCGAATATCGGCTTTCCATTTTGCTTGCATTTTGTAGCAACTGCGGCAATTTTCGGGGGAACGTGAACACTGATTAAAGACGCATTATGCGCGCCTCTTAGATAAGACCGCGATTAGATAGGCCGTCAAAGAAGAGCCACGGATGATAAGGACTCACTGTCTTCGGCTGACGCGCCATCAGATTGCGTCGCCTAATGAACCGCTCGCACCTGGCCGCGAATCGCGATTAGGCGCGCGTTTCTCATTGATTCAACTCAGCCGGCGAGGGGAGGCATTAGCATTCTTATCGTATAAGTCAGTAATTTATAATGACTCAAGTCGCAAGAGCGGCCGGGGCTGGCGAGTGCCTAGGCGTTGTGCCTAGGAGAGACCACGACGAGAGAGAGAGAGAGAGAGAGAGAGAGAGAGAGAGTTTCTCTCGTCCAATAACATAACGCGCGCCGTATCTAGATTAGCTCGTGATTAATACACAGCCACAGACTCCGGTAGTAAACAACGGCTGTTCCACGTCGGACTACATTCTGCCGGAGAGTAGCCGATCATCAATCTTATCCGCGATCGTGCCGGCCCTTCTGGCGACGGTCCTTGATCGAGCGTCGCTTGAGAATTAATCGAATCTCGCGAGGGAGCTTGAGGAGAAGAAAGAAGGGAGAAAGAAGACCGATCGACTCGTTGGATTCCGAATAGAATGGATTGCGATAATAATAATCGGCTTGGAAGGAATCAATTAAACGATCTTCATCTCGAGATATCGTCGGCGCGCGCGTCTCCTTTGTGTGCTACGTGAATTCATGCGTCCTAGACAATTCAGACAAGATCTCCGCGAGGCACAACTGCTTAGCCTCTTCTGATCGTAATTAAATGAGTATGAATTCCAAGTCTACGAGTCGAGAATGTAAGAGAGAGAAAAGAGAGAGAGAGAGAGAGAGAGGGGGGGGCAGCCCCCTCGAAACGAATTAATGCAATTCTCTCCCGGCTTTCCGCTCTTCGGGACAAACGCACTAATTTCAAGTACAAACAAACATCTCGCCCATTACGCCTCTCTCTCTCTCTCACTCTCTCTCTCTCTCTCTCTTCTGCTCTCATTCGTGCCGTCTCGAGGCGTTCGCCTCGGCGAACAAAAGCGGGAATAAGCGCTTCATCGCTGTCGTGCCTTATTCAGCGAAATTATCGCGCGAGTAACGCGAGATGACGAGCCGCCGCTGCGGCGCGCGCGCGCGAGAGAGAGAGAGGGAGAGAGAGAGAGAGACTCGACGCTCCGCGCGGCCCTTTCGAGCCCTCTCGCAGGGTTACGTCGCCCCGCCGATGCACGAATGGTAACGTGGCGTAGCCGGAAGCGGCAGATGTGTGTACCAGGATCGATATAGGGAGAGGAGCCGTTCTCTAAGCGCGCACCTCGACCCGTAGATTGTTCTCGTTGGGAAACAAAGCCTACGACCGGAATGCCTAGCTTCCCCGCCCCCCCTTCCCCTCGTTTTGTCGTCGTCGTCGTCGTCGTCGTCGTCGTCGAGTTTCCGCGGAACGAAGCGCACTCGTTCCTCGCTCGGAGCACGCCACCCAACATACCCACATCCACACACACGTTTTGCAGAAGTTATAACGATAACGGAGACTCACTGTCTCTCGCGTCGAGTGGAGTTTGAGAGCGCGCGGTCTTTATAAAGGCTCGTGTTAAAGCTTTTTCCAGAGAGAGAGAGAGAGAGAGAGAGAGAGAGAGAGAGAGAGAGAGAGAGAGAGAGAGAGAGAGAGAGAGGGAGGGAGGGAAACGTGAACATGAACGCATTGGAAACGTTGATTCGCGCGTGTTATTTCCACGTCTGGAGATATCGCGGCTTTGCGGCCACGTCCCACGTCTTTTCCGGAGTAATCGCGCGTGATAATAATTAAAGCACACACACAGGGCCTTGCCCGACTTGCGTTAATACGTGTGCATCTGGAGAATTGCCCCGTTATCCTGCGGTTGTGGATAAGAATATTTAGCGTTGACGCACCGCTTAACGCCGGAATCGTCCGAAAGAAATAGACGGGCGCGAGATTTCGCAAGAGACCGAGTCGGTCGGCGCGAGTCCCGCTTCGCGAGCGGCTCGTACTTTTTCCGGTCATCGGATACTCGTCCGCGGCGGCAAGGATTCAAGGGCGAATTACTTAGGCGGAACACGAGTGCTCGTGTCCCGCTCGCCGCGCGCCGCTCGTCGTCGTCGTCTCGGCGAAATTTTATTACTTAATTAATTGAGAGAGCAGGGGCGGGACGCGTGCCGCTGCGAGAGGTCGAGCTGCACGAGGACGGGGGTTCACCGGAGAATCGCGTGCGTCGTGTTCCGGTTATATATGGAGCACTCGACAATTAGCGCTACGACAAAAAGTACCGACGCGCGCGGAGCGGAAGAAGAATTCGTCGTGCTGCACGACTTTCTTTCCGTCGCGCACGGGATCGTGACATATTTCGACGACCGCGGGAAGAGACAGAGCCTTGTTGCTTTCCCTTATCCGAGGCAAACTCTCGTCGTTTGTCTAATCACACAGCCCCACAAAAAAAAATGGTGCCTAAAACCGGACAAGTATATTCTTATGTATTTTGATCCGCTGAATCCGAATCCGAGGTCAGAATTGGACAATTGCTAGCTTTATCGTCCCTAATCTCAAAAAACTGATCATAACTTCACTTAACAAAATTAAGCTGTATATGGTTGAATTCAGCTGAAAAAGTGCTACAATTCTTGTCGTTATAAAAATTTTCAATTTTCAAATATATAATATAATATATATTATATGTTGCGGAGCAACATAACATACTAAAAATAAGAGACACGTATTTTTTTATACGTGCCCAATTTCATATTTAGGGGTTGAAATCACCCTTACAAGGTATATCGGTATACCTGGTTTTGAGAGAGTATATTTCAAAAGCTATAAAAGATACAAAAAAATGTTTCAGATAAAAGTTGTGTGGTTTTTAACGCATTACTTACAACCGTTTAGTTAGATTTCTTAAAAATATTATATTTTTTTATATCCCGCTCCCACCATCTTTATTTTTGCAAATTGAAAATTTTTGTAATGACAAGAATTGTAGCATTTTTTAAGCTGAATTCAACCATATACAGCTTAATTTTGTTAAGTGAAGTTATGATCAGTTTTTTGAGGTTAGGGACGGTAAAGCTAGCAATTCTTGTCCAATTCTGACCTTCGGATTCGGCGGATCAAAATACATAAGAATATACTTGTCCGGTTTTAGGCACCGACCACTTTTTCCTTGTAGGGCTGTGTTATCGAAATAAAAAAGAAGAAAAAAAGAACGTTTTTACCGAGACAATTCCCATTGGTCGAGGGGAAGGAGAAAAAGTACGCGGGTCACCTTGAATATTAATTCTCGGCTTAACGACGGCGCGCGAGTGTCACAATGGGGGAAGCTGTGATGCAATTTTATGGCTAGAGCGATGCGCGCGCGTCGAGCGGTTGCGCGCCGAATGTGCCAGGAATTCAGGTTTTCCAGGTGAAGATATCCTCGTCCGTGCAAGCTCGCCTAAAAGCGAGAGGTGACGAAAATGTCGATTCCCAAGAAAGTTGTATCTCTCCGCGGACATCTGTAATATGCGTGAAAGACGCGGATGATAATTCCAGAGGTGCACTCGCGCGAACTTTGATCCTGAAGTATTTTACTCGTAAGAGACACAAATAACGCTTGATTATGCACAAAGCGATCTTATCTCAGCGCGCGCGCACGCGCGTTTGTTCGTACATCACAAAGCATTCCGCGTGATTACCGGGAGCCGGGAGATGTACGAGCAAGATCTCTCGATTCCGCCCGCAAAGATTCCGCAAATTCTGTACGGACGTGTGTGTGTGTGTGTGTGTGTGAAACTTCAAGTCGTCAGCAGATCCGCACTCGCTCGCTCGAATTAATTCCGCATCCGCGCGCGAATCTCGCTATATCATCTTCCGCTTTTACCCGCGCATCTCGTGTGCTTTTTCTCTACATAAATTCCGCGGGGACAACAATCGATTGCATACACGATTGCATCTCGGCTCGTGCAACGGAATGAGGACGAAAGTACGGCGGACGGGGAACGGACGTTTCTGTCGTCGCGAAGACATTCGCGCGTTGAACATTCTTCCGCGTTGAGACTCGTCGCTTCGGATTACCGAGGACAATCGGCTGAATGAACATTTTCTAGAGCGTTATTACGAAACCTTACGCGGAAGGATTTCCGACGGGAATTATTCCGTTTCCCCGCGCGAAGTGCGACGGAGAAGGCGACGGGGAAATCCAGGGAGTAACGGGACGTTATAAACATTCCCTCCTCTCGGAGGCATATTCTTCGAATTTTCGAATGCCTCCGTCACGCGTCTCGAGGTGCGCTCGTGGCTCGAAGGAACACAGAGCGAGTTATAAACCAGTTGGCTGCCGGTCGGGAAGCTTTCCGGATAGTTTCATAATATCAACCGGCTTATCGTTCGGTTTCCGGATAATGAAAAGTCACTCGCACGCAACGTGTGTTTTTCCCTGGAGAATCTGATATAACAAATACAGCCGGGAGAGAGAGAGAGAGAGAGAGAGAGAGAGAGAGAGAGAGAGAGAGAGAGAGAGAGAGAGAGAGAGAGAGAGAGAGAGAGAGAGAGAGAGGAGGGGGGAAGGTATGCGCGCACACCTCCTTGCGCGCCTTCCTCGCCGCAATGGCCTGCAATTTGAGAATGGCGATATTTCAAAATGCAGGCATCCACAATTATCGCGCACGAGCGCGTCTCCGGTGACAGATGTCCTCGTTGCGTCACCTCTGGTCTACGGTGTCCCGACTTGGCGATATTTGCCGTACAACGGGGCGCGGGCGGCGAGAGTTATAAACATTCTCTTCTCTCGGAGG